ATATGATGTGTCTGTCATAAATGCAACTAAATATTTACAAATGTACAACTTTAACTGCTGGCAGAAAACGACAATAGAAGCTTTCAGTTGTTCAAGAGGCAAAATGAATTCACATATCCAACAAGAAAGCTACAGTCCCCAAAACTTGGCAAAAAGCAGATAATTAGGGAAAATAACTTACTATGATGCACTTTGTGAAAATATTCGGTCAGCAACTAGATCATCAAAAAGTTCAAAGACTAACCAAATAGGTAGAGATCCTAAAATCACAATTTAGAAAACAGCTCATACCTGGCGGAAGCTATCTGAGCAGCGATGATGCTTCTTGAAATCATAAATTGGCACATGGTAAGATTGCCCGCTTTTCAACTTTTGGATGCAATCCAAAAGTTGCTCGGTGTCAAAAGCATCTGTGTAAAAAACCAAATCACAAAAATAGAATTTATGCCAAATGTTGCTAATTCAACAATGATGTTGGAAATGTAAACACATATTCATATGCCGAACGCATAAGAAATTAATACCAGGATGATCGAAATTATACTCATGCACACGTTCCGATTCTTCAGGTGTCAAACCACGGTAAAATGAATCCTAAAGATAATCATACCAAATAAGTAAGCAGAAATGAGAGAACAATTTAAACTAAGTTAACTCATCACAAGCTGCAATGACAAAACAAGTAGCCTCGAAAAGGAACCTGATTAACTAGGACTACGCGATGATCATGAAGCTGTTGGATAATCATGTCACAAACAGTTGTCTTACCAGAAGCTGTACCACCTGATACTCCTGTACAATCACATAAAACCAAGCACGGCCAGACAAGGAAAATGAAATTAATCAAACGCACAATAACACAAATTAACAATTAGTGAGCGAATCTGATTCATGAACTTGAAGCCATATACATAAATATATATGAGCAAAACCGGTTCCCTCAAGAGAATCAAGGAAATGTAACAGGAAACAGAAAGTTCTGCTTAGCTATGAGTTATAGAGAAACACCTAACTCGCTCCCTACAGGATTCACTGAAAGAAAAACCTCAATTAACTAACCAAAACTAGCGATAACCAAGTAAAAGAAGAAGAAGAATCTCCTTTTGCGAAAAACAAAACGAAGAATCATTGAGAAATTGTCCTTTCTCGGAGGAAGTAAATTAATAACTTCCAAATAGAAAATCATGAAGAAATTTTAGAGAACAATAAAGCAAAGAGACGTAGTAGTAGAAGCAAAAAGACAAGAGAGACGATGTTTTACCGATGACGAAGGGCTGCTTGGGAGCATTACCGTCGGCAAAAGCAGGAGCGGAAGAAAAAGAAGAGCGGAGATGAGAAGGAGAAGAAGTGGACGAAACCAGCGGCGACGATAGAAGGCCGTCGAGGCGTAGACCGGAGAAGTGAGGCCCAGACTCCTTCTCCATTACGTAATCAATCGTAATCGTCTCTTCTGGCATCTTTTCAGACTCTCTCTGAACTGGTTTGTTGTGCTGAGTTTTGAGAAGAGAAAAAAGGCTTTATTTATACGAAGGGGAGTGTGTACTGGTCGCCGTTCGGTCCTCACGCAACTGCGAATCTTCTCTCTCTCTTGCACATGTTTGATATTTCACTTTTTTAAAAAAATATATATATTTATTTATTTAAAGAAGATAAAATATGTTTAATTAATTTATAATAATAAATTTTAAATATTTAGCATAATGTTTATATTTTTTATTTTTTTAATTATATTTTTAAATTAATTATTTAATCAAATCCATAAATTAGTAAACATGGGTCTTAACTGACTGCAATTTTAGTAATTAGTTTATTATATCCCAAAAGTTCAAACTCTTTCTTCTTTGCCAAAGAGAAAATTTAGAGATAAATTAAAAAATAAGTGAAATTAGACATTTTTATAATTATAAAACTAAAAAATTAAATAAAATGATTGTTATAAATTTGATTGGAGTGTATAAAAGAAAATGGTTAAATATTTTGTAGTGAATACCTTTAACTCCACTTTTGAATATAAGAATGTGATTCTTGTCTCTATTCCTTAATCATTCTCCTCTCAAAATAATTTCCTTTTACGTCCCTTGATTTATAATTTAATCTTTTACATACATTATGTATTTTTTTTTATTTTCTAATAAAAAATAATAGTTCTAAAATTGATTTTATTAAATTAATAAATTGATAATAATAAAAATATTATTAATTTATTTATTGTCTACTTATTAATGACACGTATTTTTTTAATAGAAGATAGTATTTATTTTAGCATGTTTTAAAAGTATCAGAGTTTAAATGAACAAAAAATTAATACAATAATTTATACTTGATATTATTTTGTATTAAAAAAAAATTTGTTAAAATTAAAAGTAGATTAGACAATAATTTATACTTGATGATGTCAGCGAGCACATAATGGGGATGGATATATATATACTTAGTTTACTTTTTAAGTTTAGAAATATATATTTTAATAAAATAATTTTATCTATTATATAAAATTATTAAAAATATATATATAACTATAAATTAAATTATAGAATCAAATGAATAATTTATCAAATTATTATAAAATATAAAAATTGACTTGTAACTAGAAGACTAACATTTTAAAATTCAATCCTTCCAATCAAAGGCAACAGAGAACACAATTTATACACGAAGACACACATTAAGGTGTAAACCAAACTTTACAGCAATTTTTCCATTGCCATTACAAAAAGATTGATATCAATCAATTTCACTTTTTATAAATCAGTATCATCTTCAGTTAGTTGGCTTCTGTAGGTCAATTGGCATCTTCACTGCCAATGAATCCAAAGAGAGAAAATGTACAAAAGCAAGATAAAATTACAACATAAAAAGTCCGACATCACCTTCACCTACATCTTCTGTACATCCAGTAATTTAAGATACATACAAATACAAAATTTTGTATCTTTTGTAAATCTTTTCTGTGGTAAAAATTGAGAGAATCTGTGTTTCTAACAGTAAGAATTAACTACAGAGACAAATTTACAAACCGAACTTCTTTGGTCGTAGATATGTGGAAGGACCCTGGCGCATTCCCGGCATTGAAATCTGTTGTTGTTGCTTCCTCCTCTTTTCTCTTTCCTTCTCCCTGCTTTTTCTCTCCACCTCTAATTGTTCTTTCCTCAAATTTTCCATCTCCTCTTCCATTGCCGTCTTCTCTTCTTTCTGCTTTTTCTTATGCTCCAACATTGACGTATCTGATTCCTTTACAGAGAAAAACATAGGTCCAAGCTCAGCCAACCATTGGGGCTCCACTGCTGTGGCACACTGCATGTACTCCTTCGTCGTTAAAATCAATTCATGGTAAACAACATAGTCTGGTGTATAACCCAAGCCATATAAAGCACTACTTGGGTGCAAATGGCAAGGCATTCCATTCCTGCAGTTTACGTACTCCCCAACACCCTTCAGTCTTGCTGCATTGTGGAAATACGCAGAACAAATGGCTTTTCGAATTACATCCCAATCAGGTCCACAAGAAGTTAGTGGGATTTTCAGCTGCTTGAGAATATCTAATAGCTGGGACCTCACCTCTCTAGCCTTTTTCAATCCTTTAACATGCAAAAAGTGATCGTTACACCAGTCTCCCCGATAATCATGCTCTTTCCACTGCTGGTAAACATTGAGGAGGGTTAAGTGGTCAGATTTTGGGACAAAAAATTTTTCCCTTGCCGCATCACTCTCTCTGCTCTATCTTTAGGCCTGAAGAACACTGACGGAACTGAAAGCATTGACACAATTGTTAAAACCTCATTAATACATTCTAGTTGCTCGCCCATCAAAAGCATCTTAGCCAGTGGGGGGTCCAAAGGAAACTCAACCATTTTCCATCCAAGATCAGTTAAAGCACCCACATTGCTAAGAGCACCCAAGACCCATAACTGGTACATGGAATTAAGGATGTTATCCTGTGGAGGTGGGTCCATAAAATCGAAATCTAGCAAATTCTCTATTTTAAGTGACTTTAGCAACAATACCACATTTCCAAGGTTCGTTCTTTGAATCTCTGGCACAGGGCTCGGCAGCAATTCATTTAAGTATGCACTCTCTGTATAAAGTCTGTAGCAGGTACCAGGTCCAGTTCTCCCAGCACGTCCTGCACGTTGATCAGCTGCTGCCCGACTAACAGGGAAAACTTGGAGAGCATCCATACCCATCCTAGGATTGTAAACTTTCATCTTTCCATAACCAGTGTCAATGACATAATAAATTCCATCGACAGTCAATGATGTCTCAGCAATGTTGGTCGCAACAATACATTTGCGGGCGCCATCTTCAGCCTTCTGGAATATTTTTGCTTGCAAGTCAGCAGGCAACTGGGAGTATATCGGGAGTATTAGGAGTTTAGGAACTCCCCTCTTGGTAGACGAAATGAGTTGTTCCATTCGCTCAGCAAGCGCATAGCAAGCTGCCTCAATCTCATCTTGGCCAGTCATGAAAATAAGGATATCACCTGGAGGACTTGTAATGTGAATAGTCATAGCCTGCTTAACTGCTGCTTCAACATAATCTTCACATGGAGTCTTACTGTATAAAATATTAACTGGAAAAGTGCGTCCAGGAATGTGGAAAATTGGCACACTGCAAACATATCAAAAATCAGTTTTTACTTTTTATTAACTAGAACCAAAAGGAGTTAAGCAATAAATGAAAATCTAGTTACCTGCCAAAGAAATTAGAAAATTTCTGTGCATTTAATGTTGCAGATGTAACAATCAGCTTGAAATCCCGACGCTGGGCAACCACTTTCTTCAATATCCCAAACAATACATCTGTATTGAGTGATCTTTCATGTGCTTCATCCATCACAATAACACTGCAGTATTTCAAGACTTCATAGTAAATAACATATTGATGTTACAAATATACTGTGAATATAGAATTATCAAACTATCTATTCACCATACCGGTACTTGTCAAGATCAGAATCTTTTAAAGTTTCACGAAGAAGTACTCCATCAGTCATGTACTGCAACATTACAAAGGAAAAATTCAGCTGTCATGAATAAAGAAAGACTAACATAGCAAACGGAGATATACAATTAACTGACCAGTAACTACTTGATAGATATTAACAATAAACTAATATATGTACAAACACGACCAATTCAGTTAACACCACTTACCTAAGTCCGTTAAGAAAACTCATGAAAACAAATATAAATATGTACTACATAGAAAAAGCATCATCACATCATTGTATATCGCAATCAGACACTTATAATCCCCAATCCAACAAGGTCACATTTAAGAAATGCTAGGGAGGTCCTAAACATGTTTGACCTAATAGACATAAAACCACAAACCTTGATCAAAGTGTCCGGGCCAGTCACATCTTCAAAACGAATAGCATAGCCAACTTTATCCCCCAACTCAGTTTCCATCTCTTCACTAACTCTTTTTGCAACACTCATGGCTGCTACTCGCCTTGGTTGGGTGCAACCTACTATGCCATTTGAAGTGTATCCATCTTCATGAAGATACTGTGGCAAAATCAACACCATAGTCAATTTACTTTTGAGAAACACACACACACACACATATTACTTTAGTGAAACAATGGAATAAATAAAGACAAAATACTGTATCAAATGATGAACCTGTGTAAGTTGGGTTGTCTTTCCTGAACCAGTTTCTCCAACAACAATCACCACCTGATTTTCACGAATAACCTGTTAAATAAATGTTTGAGAAACATTAGAAAAGCATGACAGCAACAAGATGGAAAAGTTAAAAAAGAATGTCTAGCAAACTAAGCTAATACAATCAAAATAGAAATTCTAAGTCTATTTAGGAATTCTATGAAATAAAAAAATAAACTAATTAATTGGAATAACCTATAGTAAAATAACTAAATAGAAAATGATCAACCTATACCATATAGATACTAATTCCTAGATAACCTAAAGACCTTAATAATATGTCTACTTTAGGATCTTTTTCTGTGGCATCAAAAGGTCTAATGGAACTTGAATTTTTTTTTTTTAAATTTCATTCAAGCATATGACAGTACAAAACAAATAGAAATAAGATACTTGAGAACCTTCCAAGTC